TTAAAAGTCACGTTACGCAGGTGTGATGCCGGTGATGCGTTCTCGACATGAGGAAAGGAGTGCGTGCGCAGTGAAAGTAACCATAGCTAGTGCCGTCAATCCTTTCAATACATATAACAAAATGGATGGAAAATGGCTGGAATGGCTGGAAGGCAGAACGAACATTGTGACACCAGCGTGCCTGTTGGAAGAAAGGCTCAAGACAGACAGACAAACGGCAGACAGACAGACAGACAGTCAAACGGACACCTTGCAAAAACCCGTAAATCAGATTTTTCGAGAAATCACTTAGACGGGTTGGGGTTGGGTGCGTGGGTGGGTGGGCTGGGTTACCGGTGGCCGGCTGTGTCGCGTCAGCGTGTAAGTAAGAATGTTGATGGTGAGGATCATCACCATCATGATAATTATCACCAACCATCATTCTGATGATGATGACGATGATGATGACGATGATACCGATCATCACAGCACCCCTTGCATCCCCAACGGCGCCTCGCGTCACAACAATACTTCATCATGATGATCGATGATAACTATCATCCTTTCCGGCGCCGATGATTACTATCATCATGGCACTCCCTGCGCCCACAACGGCTCTGTGTCATGAGAAATATCATCACCGCATCCCCTACACCCCAAGCAATGTCGAACATCACTGTTGAAATGCATCTAAGAATAAGACAAGACAGGTGTAAGAATAAGCATAAGATAAGAATAAGAATAAGAAGAATAAGAAGAAAGGAGTAAGTAACACAGAGATGATGATGATTCATGTTGATGATGATCATCATCATTGTGATCATGATGACTATCATCAATCAGTATCATGATGATGATGATAACAATCATCAGAGCACGCCTTGCAGCCCCAACGGCGCCTCGTGTCACAACAATGCTTGCTGATGATGATGATGATGATCATCTCTGGTAACTATTATCAGAGTGGCCCCTGCATCTTTAACGGCGCCGATGATCACTATCACAAGAGCATTCCCTGCATCCTCAGTCATCGCTACATCCCTGCATCTCAAGCAATGGCTAACGTCACCTTTGCAATGCAAATAGAAGAATAAGATAAGACTAAGAATGGGAATGAGACAAGATAAGAAAAGGAATGGGGTATGATGATGACTGATGCTGATGATGATCGTCATCTGAATCATCATCATCATCATCACAACGATGCTTGATGGTGATGATGGTGATGATGACAACTATCGTCAGAGTCACAGCCGCCCTTCCCGTGCGCCTCCCCTTTTGGAGAACGGCGGATTTGTTGAAATTGTATTTCGAAATTGCTTCATATCGGAAACTGGAATGAATTCCTTCCCCGTTAGATTCCAGCAATACTCGGATTAATTTTGGATCAACATCCCGTTTCGAAAGGAGCTACTTATGTTCGGACTTCAATTTGAAATTCCAAGTCCAGAATCAGATTGAAGGTGGGACAAGGATCAACTGAAATATTCTAACTGAAGCCAATCCTAATTTCAGTAATTTTCAGAAGGGCTCCCCTTGGCATAAGCGGACCGAAATGCAACACACACATTGTTGTGTGGTGATGCAATGTAGCCGTTCAATTTGCTGGGTTGCTAACTCATCAACACATGAAGAGTCCCACTTGCTGGAGTTGTTCGACAATTTATATATTTTTGAGTTTTTATTAATAATTATTCTAAATATGTTTTTAAATTGATATCGAATATTTTTATAAAACTTATATATAATTTTGAATTCAATAAGTATTATTTTATAAAAATAATGTTAAAATTGATATTCAATATAGTTGCACGCCAAGGGAACACCATGTGTGTGTGTGTGTGTGCTCGTGTTGGATTGCTTGCAACACATACACACAAAATGCACGCGGTGAAGTTGCTTGATGGACTTGCGAGGCGGCATGTGCGGCTGCCCTCATGCATGAGCGGATTGTTTGGCCATTGAATCTGCATCACGTGGCTCGCACCAACGAAAATTGGAGTCCTTGTAAGAGACAGCGCGCAAGCATGAACAGTATACGTTTGTTCGATCGCTGCAGCTTGAGTAGGGCAATGCCGCGCCCCTGCATTGGAGTTGCTCTGGCGCTTCTGGTTTTTGTTGCGAGCATTGTGTGTGTTTCAATATTCCAGCCGTCTCTTGGGTGTTTGCAGCAAAACACAGTTCTTGGGGCAAGCCCCGCACAGCTGCAGCTGCCGCCGCAATCGCAGCCAGACGTTTGGACCACTTTTGTCTCCAGAGTGCTTGCTGGTCCTGATGTGAAGGCTTGGCAATGCTCGTCTTCAAAGTTGGCAGTGTTGAATTTCTCTACAGTTCCCGAACTGTGGGTTGCACCATTGGGCCCGCGCGGCCCGCTTCAAGTATTTGCATCCACTGAGAAAGGTCAATGCAATTTGCTTCCCTTGGGTTGTTTGAAGGAGCCGACACGCTCGCAAGGCATAGTTGAAGCTCCTTGGTTGGAGGATGTTATCAATGCGGCTTTCCGCCATTGCCACACGAATCCTCCATGCCATGCCCTGGATATCGGATCGAACCTTGGCATCATTACGCTCCTAATGCTCCACGCAGGCGGAAATGTTGTTTCAGTCGAGCCGCAACTTGACATGTGCTGCGCGTCGCATGCCACCGCATTATGGCATGGTCATGGCAGTCGCCATTTGCAATTGTGCGGATGGCTCATGGTGCAGCCTGGCCTCAAGGAATTGGCTGTGCCGGCAGGCGCTCAATTTTTCAGGTATGGAAGCCATTACTATGATGAGAGCGGAGCAGTCGCAGTTTCCCTTTTCAATGTCACACGAAGTTTTCTCGCAAAAGGATTGCCCTTGTCTTGGCCAGTTCATACTCTTGGAGATATTCTAATGCTTAAGCCATTCGGCCGCTACACAATGATCAAAATAGATACGGATTCAGCAGATTGCAACATTCTCCAGTACTTGGTGCAACTGTGGCAGGCAGGTATTCTCGAGATGGACCACGTAACGTTAGAAATGTCCGGATTTTGCGCGGATGAGACTCAGCGCAGCGCAATCAACAAACTCTTCGCAGAGATGCAGGCAGGCTTTCATTTATACCGTGCGGATGCAAATTTTGCTCAGCAGAATGGATATGCTGCAAATTTTGACTTATTTCCAAATGTGACCGAGAAAGTCGTGGAATTGGCCCACGCAAGAATGCTCAAATTCAACAGGACGCTTGCTTGCATTAGCTTGCTGCTTGATACTTGATGAAACTGCTTGAGTTGCTCAATGTACTTTGCAGGATGACGCTGCAACAATGGCAAGAAGCCTCGGCCTTCGACATCATGCGATCTGGGGAAGGACGCCCAGGTTACCATTTACTCGCAAGGGCGAGGCATCTTCCTGAATTGTAAAACATTCAATCAGAAAGCGCGAGTAGAAACGCAATGCGCGCAGGTGGGGAAGGGTTGGTTTAGCTAAGGATCGCACAAGCCTTGCCCTAGTTTGTGAATTGTAGAACATGCGCCAGCAGGAAAACGGACTGCGAGAGCCGTGGCGTGGCACCAGTGCTTGTTCATAATTGCATATCTGTCCAGGACGCGGGCAACCTCCAAATGTCTCCTGCTCACCCTCATGGTTGCTTGCCATTGTGATGTTGAAGGTGTTCGGGCACAAGCAAGCTGTATGTTCATACTTGCATTTGTGTCCAGGGCGCGGGCGACTCTCCAATTTGTGATGTTGAAGGTGTTCGGGAAGCAAGCTGTATGTTCATACTTGCATGTGTGTCCAGGACGCGGGCAACCCCCAAATGTCTCCCGCTCACCACCCTCATGGTCACTTGCCATTGTGATGTTGAAGGTGTTCGGGCACAAGCAAGCTGTATGTTCATACTTGCATTTTTGTCCAGGACGTGGGCAACCCCCAAATGTCTCCCGCTCACCACCCTCATGGTCGCTTGCCATTGTGATGTTGAAGGTGTTCGGGCACAAGCAAGGTGTATGTTCATACTTGCATTTGTGTCCAGGACGCGGGCAACCCCCAAATGTCTCCTGCTCACCACCCTCATGGTCGCTTGCCATTGTGATGTTGAAGGTGTTCGGGCACAAGCAAGTTGTATGTTCATACTTGCATTTGTGTCCAGGACGCGGGCAAGCCCCAAATGTTTCTTGCTCACCACCCTCATGGTCGCTTGCCATTGTGATGTTGAAGGTGTTCGGGCACGAGCAAGCTGTATGTTCATACTTGCATTTGTGTCCAGGACGCGGGCAACCCCCAAATGTTTCTTGCTCACCACCCTCATGGTCGCTTGCCATTGTGATGTTGAAGGTTTTTGGGCACAAACAAGCTGTATGTTCATACTTGCGTGGGTGCCCCCCCAACTGTTTCCTGCTCACCACCCTCATGTCACTTGCCATTGTGATTTTGAAGCTTTTCGGGCACCACAAGCAGGCTGTACGTTCATACTTGCATTTGTGTCCTGTTTCCTGCTCACCACCCTCCTGGTCGCTTGCCATTGATGTTGAAGGTTTTCGGGCACCACAAGCAGGCTTATGTTTCCATCGAACAATTGGGCGAACAAAATCTCCCAGCGCCAGAAGAGGGGGATCGGTGCGACTCCCGGAATTGTGAGGCCATGTCTTTTGGCAGGCAGCTTTTTGAAGTTTCATAAATTCATGTTAGATGAATTTGGCTGGAAATGTGTTGATCCAGTTGGGAAGGCAATGGAATTCGAATGCAAATCTTCGCGCGTTCACGTTGGAATGTTGGAATCATGTGGAGTTGTTTTGCAAATAACCCTTGAATCACATTGGTTGTTGAGAATTGGAATGGAAACTCCTGTTTCCCTTCAGCCCCCTGTTTCCTTGTGAAGAGGCCTTGTGTGAGGACGGCGATGATTGGCTCCTGCGGTTGCGGCTCGACTAGACTGGGAGCCACTATTCAGTGTAGGGCAAAGACACTGGAAACAAGTCCATTTGGAACATGCAATGAACATTCGCATCCCGACCTCCCGGAAAGAAGACACTGAATCATTCAAGGACGTTTCTCGATTGATCGTTTTTGCGGGAGCAGCGTGCAATGCCATGGTTGCCTCGACGTGTAGGATTCGAATGAACGCCAGCCAAATGGTCCGCCTATTGCCCATAATATGTGGCATTCTGCTGATTTGGACATGGACTATACTCAAGTTGCAGTATTCCTTGCTGGCAGGGGCGCATCTCGCCGTCGCTCCAACGCAAAATCCAGACCTTGCACATGCACAATCTTTGAAATCCGCGAAGAACACTGCTGGCGAAACTGAAGAGGTCTTGGTTCTGATTGATTCTTTGACGCAGTTTGGGCCATTCACCCTGGTGTTGCAGCCACATGTGCAAGGAGGCACGGCCCACTTTTCTAATTCTGTTTTGCTAGCTGATTCTGTAGTGGTTTCGCCTGAGTTGCAATTTCCATTGATTACAAAGTACAGTGTGGCGCCCACAAGCGACAATTTGACCGTGAACATTGGCAATCGCAAGATAGCATGCGCATCCGGTGCATTGATTGCCGCGCTTCGAACCTGCACGTTTTACAAAGTCTTTGTCAACCATCCCCTGGGGTTTTCTACGCGGTTTTTGAGTGACGTGTTTGCTATGGAAAAGCGTTTCATGACAGTCACACACGACTATGTGTGGGTGTTTGATCTTCTGCAGCCAACCTTCACAAATCTGCGAACACCGGAAGGAGCAGCCAGAAACTATGCTTTCAAAAAGTTGCTTCCAAAATTGGAGGTGAAGGCACAGGTGCAATCCACCAGAGATAATTTTGCATTGTTCGACCATTTCAAGTCGATCCGTGTGGTAAAGATGCCTGACTACACCGCAAGCCAGCCACGATCCATTGTGACGTCAAAAGGCCTCGTCATGGGAGTCATTGGAGAGATCTCTTGGATCAAAGGTTTGGACTTGGTAGTTCAGTTGTCAAATGTGGCAAGCTCCGGCCAGTCCTGCCAACATTTCAAAGTTGGATCCCGGTACCTACAGTTTGGGCGATGGCGCCTTGGGGAGACCGACGCACGTCACTTTTCCATCTCGCATCAGGGTGGCCAGACCCCGATAGTTTTCCGGAGTGACGGATCTGCTCACCCAGGTCCTTTTAAAGACTACAACGCCTGGTCCATTTCTGACTGCCCCAACGCAAAGCTGACCGCCGGCAAGGACTTCATCCAGATTGGGGCGTGGCGCATGGGCCCTGAAGGCCTCAAGAGCTTTGCGTTTGCCAAGAAGAGCAAACAGAAGCACAGCCATTCCTCCAAGGCCGTGGTTTTCAAAGTAGGTCACGGCTGGGTCACGGGCAAGTCAGACTTGTGGTCGCGGCCGGTGAACACCTCCATAGTATTGACCCGGAAGGAGTTTCTCAAGATCGGGTCGTGGCTCCTAACGTGCACAGGAGATGCCTTCAAGCTCGTTCAAGAAGAGCACGGTACTGTTTTTAGCTTGCATGCTGATGGTCGGGTGGAAAGCCCGAAAGACGCACACGACACGTGGTTTGGGCCTGAATTGCAGATGCAGAAACCAAGTCCAGGCCGATGTCACGTGAAGATGTTTATTTTCGGAGAGGTGGCCGACGCTTGCAATATTGGGGACAACACCAAGCGGGAGAAGTTTAGAAGCATCGATGAGTTCAACCAGTTATTGGAGCGTGTGCGGCCCAATGTCATGATTATTCCCGCTCTTTGGCCAGAGACATATTCCTACACATTGACCCTTGCCATGCTGACCAATCTACCGATCATAGTCAGAAGAGCTGACAATGACTTTCCTGCCGCAATAGCGACTCGAGCAGCTTCATATTCCAAAACATACTTCCATGATTTCAGAAATATCACAGATGTGGTTCGACTTGCGCAGCAGATTAGAGGGGGCCATCTCACCAAAATTCAGCCGGACCTGATTGTGCCACGACAATGGTACAATCTGTTGCGACCAACTTTCACGAATGCAGTTCTGGTTGCGTCCAAGATTTTGACGAGTGCAGCCCTCAGACCTTCAGAATCGTAGTTGGAAAGTGCAGACTGAAGTTGGCTTGGGCTTTTGGATTTGGAAGTAAGGTTTGATTGAATCAAGAGCGCACGTTGCTGGCATGCCTTTGCAGACATGCATGCACGAGTGAGCAGTTTGCTCGGTAGGCAGGTAGATGGAGTTTGCAACATGAAACAAACCAACATACTTGAAACTCGCTGAGAAGTGGGGGCAGGGAAATGGATGTTCGGCAGCCCTTTTCCCTTCTACGGCAAGATCCTGGTCCCTGCTAAAGGGAAAAGGTCCCACCCCCCATTTGATGGGCCTGGCTGGTGTTTCGAGCATCCTTGGAGCATTGGAGCATGTTTTGAGCACATTCGTTGCTTTTTGAGCATTGTTGGAGCTTGGTTGGAGCATTGCTGGAGATTTGTTTGTAGCATGTTTGGCACCCGGAACATTTGAGCCTTTCTGGATCAGTTTAGAGCATTCGTGGAGCATTGTGAGCAGATAAAATTGCATCAGCAAATTGGCTTAGCTGCCCGCACGAGCCCCTCTCCGCACCCAGGCCCAGACCCTTCCTCAGCCAAGGCGGCCCCCACCTGTTTAGTGAGCGGTTGCGACACAACGTTTTGCTGGCTTGTCACAGCCGTAGCTGTTTGGGGCGAAGATGGCCATACTGTCCCCCACCCCCTTAATGGCCGAAAATGGGGGGCTGCCCAAAAGGAGACGTTTAGGTCCACAGCAAAAGGGTGAAATGTTGCAAGGCCTGACAGAATTTGAAAATGCATTCTCAGACACCCCTTTGGGTGGGGATGTCGTAGGTGCGCTTGAACACAGTGTGAGTCATGGTTTTGATTTGTGATTTTGGCACGCCAGCCCAGGTAGCAAGCCGCTTTGGTACCACCCGCAGCGCAGTCGATTTTCAGAGCAGGAGCGTTTCAATCAGACAATCGAGACATTGAAGTCAATTCGTCTGGCGATTCCAGACTGCTTCATTGTTCTAATTGACAACAGCAAAATTGACAGGGAGCAGGCCACGCGCTTGGAATCATTGGCAGATGCATTTGTCAATGACGTGAACAACCAAGATTTGCTCTACTGGACCGATGAAAGCGAGGCAAAGCAGATTGGGGAAGCGATGCTGCTTCAACAGGGACTGGATGCATTGGAGGAACACGAAGTGATGTACGAGCAGTTATTCAAATTGAGTGGCCGGTATATGCTCAACAATAAATTCAACCTGCAGACATACAATAATACCCACAATGTCTTCAAATTGGCGCGAGTCGGGAAATCCTTGAATCTTCACAAGCCGTTTTACGCATACACATGTTTTTTCAACATCTATTATGAACACATACATGCGTTCCGCTCAGTGTTGTCAAGCATGACTGCAGAATTGAAGGCAATGATTGCCAGAAACATGTCAACCTTCCTCCACGATGACGTTGAGTCACGACTTTCCCTGATGCTTCCGGAAGTTGTTTATGTGGAAGAGCTTGGTGTCACGCAGCGAATCTCTACGTGGGATTCAGAAGACAAGGATATTTGAGAGAATGCGACAACATTTCTGGATCTGGGTTTTCCTGGACATTGTGCCCGCGCCGACTCCGAATGCTGAGTTGCGAACAAAAGCGCGTGATGTTTGCGTGACAGCTGCCAGTCCAGCGCGCCGGTTGAGTCAGAGTGGGCGCACGATGCACAACTGTTTTGGTCAAATCCTAAGTCCTAGGTGTCCGAGCGTTCGAGTTCTCCAGGACGTCATTGCTTCCATTGCTTCCGTTAACCCTTCAGTTGCGCAGAACATTCTTCAGGTTGGGTAGGATCCGTTCGTCACCTAACAGTCCCGAATTAGTTTCCACAGACTTCATTACAGAAAGTTCCTACTTGTTTCAGCTTTGATATTTCGACCGGCAAACAACACACAGCATACCTATAACCTTTGATTCACAAGAGCTCGGGGGTTTTGCAGTGATTAATCATGATCTTCAGGTGTCCTCTCTTTCAGATGTGGGGGCAGACGAATGTGTGTGTGTGTGTGTGCGTGTGTCTGTGTTTGTGTCTGTCTGTGTGTCTGTCTGTGTGTCTGTGTGACCACCCTTGTTCCCCAAACAGTGCGTCTACACTGAGGGTTTTTTTTTGTGGTAAGAATAAAGGGCCGGGAAAGACAAGGGTGTTCCCTTGTGAGATGTTCATGTGCATTTGGACTGCGCAGGAAAGTGCTGGGGCGAATTTGGTGTTTTTCGAGGGTGTGCTCTCGCTGTGGTGCCGTGCGATGCGGACTCTGGGCACGTTGAAGCCCTCTCGCTGTGGCTAGTTTGTTGAGGAGTTTGTCCTCTTGGGCCACTTTTTCGGCTTTGACGGCTTCTGCCGGTTCTGTCGGATTCTTGTGTTTGCATTACTGTTTGGACATTTTGGCCATCGACCGATCTTTTTCTTGAGCGTCAGGATGTACGTATATGTATGCAATTCTGTAATGTATGTATATGCATGTATGTAACAGTGTATGTATGTGTATGTCTGTATGCATGTGGGAGTCGTTCTAAAAGTTGTTGTAAGGAGTTTAGTATTCGGTGATGTTGGTTGAGGTAGCTCCGCGAAAGATTCGCGATGGAGTTGTGAAAGTAACCCCTTTTCTCGCGAAAGTTTTGCGTAACTGTATCTTGTAAATCAGTGATACGTGAAACCCTTTATCTTTTCTGCTGAGCCTTCCTTCCAAGCAGATTTTTACTTGTGTTTGTTGCGTTGATAAAGCCTGGTGAGACTACACTTTGACACCCTGCTTGGCTGGTTAGTGCTCCAAGTGTGCGTGTGTGTGTGTGGGTTTTAGTCGGTGGCTTTACGCTGAAACGTGGGTGATTTTTCGCGACCGCGAAAGATCCGTGAAAGTTCGCGCGAAAGCGCAGGCTTCGATTGCAAGGGGGGGTATTTTTTGAGCGCCCCGCTAGTCAGGGTACTTGCCTTTCCAACTGAAGGAAGCGCATTTCGCGCACTACGCTGGTACTTCAAAGCTGCTACTTTCTGACTTGACAATGAAAAGTGCGCGGCGCGCGAAAGATTCGCGAAAGAAATTGTTTTTCGCGAAGAACAGCCGTTTGAGACAAAGGGTTTTAGAACAATGTATGTTTGTTTGTGTGTATGTGTATGTAAGTAGGTGTGTGTGGTATGTATGCATGCCTGTATGGAATGAGCAACGCTGTATGTTATGTAAGTATGTAAGTATGTAAGTATGTAAGAATGTATGTGTGCATGTATGTATGCATGCATGCATGTATGCATGTATGTATGCATGTATTTTCGTATGTAATGTATACGTATGTATGTAGTACGCGTGTTACGTGTATGTGTGTATGATTAGTGTGCGTGTTTTTTTATGTTAGTATGTGTGTGTATATGTATTTTACGTATGTGTGTAAAAAGTATGCAATGCATGTGCGGTATGTACGGTATGTACGGTATGTACGATATGTATGTATGCGTGCATGCGTGCGTGCGTGTGTGTATGTAGGTATGCATGTACGTATGCATGCATGCATGTATGTATTTATGTATGTGTGTGTTTTCCCAGAGCAAGCGCGCTGCAAACGTACCGTAGTTTCGCTTTTAGATGCGTCTGATGCCTCAGTAGTCGTTCTAAGCCAACAAGCAAGCACGCAGCAAACGTAGCGGAGTTTATCTTCTAGATGTGTCTGATGCCTCAGTCACCCTAAGCCAACAACGGCTGCTTTCCTTTTGGCATCGCCAGCGGAATCTCTCAGCGCAAACACGCTTTCACGTGGGCATCGCTGCCAGAATCTCTTAGCGCAAACGCGCAGCAAAAGTAGCGGAGTGTCGCTTTTAGATGTCGTTTGATGCCTGAGTCACCCCAAACCAACAGCAGCTTCTTTAACTTGGGCATCGCTAGCGAATTTCTTGTTAGATGTTTTGCATCCTAAGTCCTCTAAGCATCGCTAGCAGAGTTTCTCAGTGCGAGCTCGTAGCAAGCTTGCCGGAGTTTCGCTGTTAGATGTGTCTGATGCCTGAGTCATCCTAAGCCAACAACGACCACTTTCACGTGGGCATCGCTGCCAGAATCTCTCAGCGCAAACGCGCAGCAAACGCACCGGAGTTTCGCTTTTAGATGTGTCTGATGCCTGAGTCATCCTAAACCATCAACGACCACTTTCACGTGGGCATCGCTGCCAGAATCTCTCAGCGCAAACGCGCCGGAGTTTCGCTTTTAGTTGTCCAACAGAAACTTGGTCCCATTATTCCCTTTCCTCAAATCACCAAGCAAGCATGAGCACAGTCAACCAAACGCATGTCCTGCGAACACCTGGGAAGCAATCGAAACTGCAAAGGACAACCAACACTGGAACTCATGCTGAGCAAGCAACTCGCCGATGTATGTCGTCTGATGCCTGAGTCATGCCAAACCAACAACAGCTTCTTTCATTTGGGCATCGCTAGCAAATCTCTCAGTGCAAGCGCGCAGCAAACGTATCGGAGTTTCGCAATTAGATGCTTTTCATCCAAAGCCAACAACGACTGCTTTGATTTGGGCATCGCTGGTGGAATTTCTCATTGCAAGAGCGCAGCAGACGTAGTTTCAGATGCGCTGATGCCTGAATCATCCTACGCCAACAACGACTGCTTTCAGTTGGGTAGATGTGGCTTATGCCTGAGTCACCCTAAGCCAACAACAACTGCTTTCCTCTAAGCATCGCTAGGGGATTTTCTCACTGCAAACGCGCAGCAAACGTACTGGAGTTTCCCTTGTAGATGTGTCTGATGCCTGAGTCGTCCTAAACCAACAGCGGTTCCTTTCATTAAAAACGTAACGGAATTTTGCTTTTAGATGTGTCTGACTGTCATCCTAAGCCAACAACGACTGCTTTCATTTGGGCATTGCTAGCACATCTCTCGCGAAAGGGCGCCAAGAGCGCAAGAAAACGGGCCCGGAGTGTCGCTTGTAGATGTGTCTGATGGCTGACTCATCCTAAGCCAACGGCGACTGCTTTCATGTGGGCATCGCTAGCGGAATTTCTCAGCGCACAGCAAGCGTACCGGAGTTTCGCTTATAGAGGCGTCTGATGCCTGAGTCATCCGAAGCCGACAACGACTGCAATCCTCTGGCGCCAGCAAACGTACTGGAGTTTGGCTCTTGGATGTGTCTGATCCTAAGCCAAGAAAGCTGCCTTCCTGTGGGCGTCGCTAGCGGAATCTCTCAGCGCAAACGCGCAGTAAGCGTATTGGAGTTTCGCTTTTAGATGTGTCTGATGCCTGAGTCATCCTACGCCAACAACGGCTGCTTTCAGTTGGGCATATTCAACAAGGCAGCGTCCTCACGATCATCCCTCCCTCCAGGAGACATGTCTCCCAAAGACGTCGCGATGCCTCTTTGCAATTACAAGGTCTTTTGCTGTGAGCGCGTCCGCCTCAATGAGATGCGAGTGAACAGCAGAAACGATGCAGATTGACACCTTCCGCTCATGGTCAACATCAAGAAGGTCAAGAAAGACCTCAAAGCAGAGAAGGTGCCCAAGAAAACAAGGGAGAAGAACAAGTGGCAGAAGACGATCAACAAAAAACCCTCTACAAAGTGACCAAGAATGGATCGACTGGAGTTCAGATCACCTTCTACAGCCAGAAGAGCAGGTCCTATGGAGAGAACTGAAACATGCTTCCTGGAGCAAGTTTTTCAGACAAAGAAACAAGAGGCAACAGAAGTATGCTACTAGTACCTCGACCAATTTCCTCATAGATTTGATTTCTCTCCAATTCTGAGCGCGAAGCAGATCGTATGTTTCGCACAGCCGAAGACACCATCAGTGTGTCTCTTTTTGCAACAACATGGTAGATTTGGTTAGCAATCTACAGATCAGATCAGAGCCAATTTCAAGACAAAAGCGTCTCAACTCTTTTCTTTTCATAGCTACGGCAAAACACATGGCTGCGGTGCAGTGTTGTCACACAGTAGCTAGATTCTGAAGGCAAAATGGTTTTATGTCTGTTGCTTGTTCCGTGTTGTCATGATGCCATTATTTGAGAGAAGAGGTACTGTGTGCTTCTCACAGATACGACTTGCAGTCAATTACCAGGACACGCGTCGGATCCATCTCATTCCAGAACAAGGTGTTATCTTGCGTCCTTGCCCCTGGTGTCGGTCCACAGGGCGGGTTGAGGGGCAGGCTCAGAACAGAAACTTGCCTCATAGTTTACACCCGTGTTGGTTTGCTACAAAACCAGAGGTAGAAACAATTGTTAGATGCGCACGTAAATACATAGATCGACAGCTAGGAAGATACACAGAGAAAGAGATGTAGAAAGAGAGAAAGAGAGAGAGAGAGAGAGAGAGAGAGAGAGAGAGAGAGAGAGAAAAAAAAGGAAGCAGACAGGCAGAAAGAAATGCAGAAAGGGGTGTGGAAAAACACAGAGAGACAGAGAGACAGGAAGGAAGGAAGGAAGGAAGGAAGGAAGGAAGGAAGGAAGGAAGGAAGGAAGGAAGGATGGAAGGAAGGAAGGAAGGAAGGAAGGAAGGAAGGAAGGAAGGAAGGACGGACGCACGGAAGGAAGGGAGGGAGGGAGGGAGGGAGGGAGGGAGGGAGGGAGGGAGGGAGGGAGGGGGAGGGAGGGAGGGAGGGAGGG